TCGCTTTTAGTTAGGCAAAGCAGTACCAACCAATGGCCTCTTGGGATAGAGTAAGGTACACACACTCTCATGGTTAAGTATCTTTGTAACAGACAAATACAGTCCCTCCTGCTCTCAGGTGTCTCAGAGATGTACACAGTCCACTGGTCATGATGAAGACAACAGGAGGTGTGAATCCTCTGCAGATCTGAAAAGACAAGGCAACCAGCCTGCTGCAAAGGCCAAAGTATTTCCTTACAGGATGCAAAACTCAGTAAACCGTCACACCTGTGAGGATGGAAAGCTCCATAAACAACTCTGCCCTTAAAAGCCTCTTGCTTTAATAGAGTATGGATTCAGGCTCTGGACTCCCACAGCCCTCGCCTCCTGGGCAGCTGCAGCAGGCACTCTTCACCTGGCCAGGCTCCTTGGGGTCCTTCTCTAGAAGGTGCTTAGCAAGAGAGCTACGCCTGGACCAATGCTTGCCCAGTGTCAAGTGAGCTTTGCTGCTCCTGCACACTAGGCATTTCTCACAAATTCCAATACTTGTTTGGAAAACTTCCTGTTCCATCCCACCTTTAGAAGGATCCATCAGGCTGCATCAGTTGATCAGTGCTAAATACGGAAATAACAATTTCTATGTTTTGCTGTCCATAAAGTCAAACACCCTTTGAAAACTCAACAGCCTGAAAGCAGGGGTGAGAACAGACTCTGAATGGCCATGAAAACATCTTGAAATGACATTTTTCCCCCCCAAGCTGAGATAGATGTAAGTAGCCCAAAGCCCTTGTTACACTTGGTGCTTTTGCTGTTATCAAAAGGCAAGACAAGGAAGAGCATGCAAGGCATGGCTACACTGTAGATGAACCTCTGAGAACTCTAATAGACAAGCTTTCCTTTGATTGCAAAATGAATCTGAGAAGCAAGACAAACATGGTGAGCACAGTAGCCCTGTGAAAAGGAAACAAAGAGCACCCAAGATAATAAATTTAATGCTGCCTGAAATCCATGACTGATGGATTGCTTGGAGTCAAAGCTGATTATCGAGGCCATTAGCGTCTGACTTTGAACAAGGAGATCACAGAGGTGTGACAGGGGATCAGGTCAGGGCAACAGACTGTTTTGTGAAGTACAGAAGTTAGCCCTAGATGTTTTCCGTTGCGATCTGTCAAGTATAAAGTTACTATGCCGGGTAAAAGGAAGTTTCCTTGTAAATCCAGAGCCACACAAGAAAGGGTCCTGACAGGAAGCATCTCCATATGCAGAAAACCCATAGACCTTGCAGATCTACGTTGCACTTTAATGCATCCCCCCC